GGTCCAAACCCAGTCATAGATTTATTCATAGATCCAGTCAAAGATGTATTTTAGTCATTTCTGGTTTAAATTGAGATCCCTTCCCTTTATAACTCACTTATCCTCCACCATTCCCAAGTCAAGGGTTGTATATACTGACCCAATAGTATATCTTGAAAACTAGAGCCAATCAACAATTTTAAGCATCATTTTCGTTCTCAGTGACCCAGAATTAGTCAAGTTTGACTACATTTATTTCAGAAGCATTTTGGCTGCAGAGCAGTGTAATCTGAGAGAGAAGATTTAATGTTGAGGATTTTACCAAAATGATCAAGAGATTTAATTATAATTTGTTTAAAATCGTCCCTTTAACTTTATTCATGTCTCAAACTTTTGGTAAAAAGTTACTCATTTAAGATTAAAAGATGATTACCTTGTAGATTTTAAGTGCATCTAAGGGAAAGATGACTTTAAAGTTTCTTAGTCGGTTATTTTGATTTAACAATATTCACCTGAGCTGTTTTTTTCCTCCATCATGATGTTTATTGACTAGTAGTTGCTCCAGAAATCAAAGCGTTCATAAGTTTCTAACCCTCATGGCTGTGGAGAAAAAGTCTTGAAAATATGGACTGAGTTTATATGCAAGCTTCAAAGAGGTTCTTTCACAAGAGATAGGATCTCTGTGGAAGTTCGCTATTGGCTTAGGAGTTCTATTGCATGTTCTGGCCAGTCTGTACTGCTTTTCACCCACAGTCCTTTCTGTTGATCTGCAAGGCATGATCCACCAGGTTTTGTGGATTACAAAACCTAGGAAAGTGGCCAAGAAGTTCCTATACTCCTTCTGAAGCATCCATTAACTGACGTTTAGAATATGCCTGATGTGCCATGTAATTCACAAGATACGACATCAATTGGTGCAAGCTGCGAAGGGATCTAAAGGCAGTACACCTAATAGTCAGATGGTAAGGGTACGCAGCAAGGATCCCTTTTTCAGCTTAAGAGTGCAGACACACCACTTTCACAATTCTTGTATCATACAACACTATACTGTGTATGGTTAAGGTTGCGACACAACGTACATGACAAAGCCACAAAAGCGAAAGAAAAAAAGTTAAACCATCCAACAGTACACTCCTCTATGCAGACACACCTCTCCACACGCGTAACTACCATAAACCACAGCCTTGGCTCACTTCCCCAAACTGGAAGGGGCATGTTTTTTCTAAATTTTGTACAGAAGGAATGGGTGGGAATCTGGTCTACTTGTGCTGATGGCAGGAGTATGGGCAAAGCTTGGCTAGAAGGCTGGCAGTGCCACCTGTGGAGAGGTAAGGCTAAGTTTGCCTCTTCATCTGCTTCATAAGGGACAGAGAGCATAACGTAGGAGTGGACAATGAGGAAGGGTGGGACAGAAACCCAGCCTTCTAACCTTGGTTTTAGGATCCAAAGCTGATATTTTGGGAAAAGGGTGGGCTGGAATTCCCTTCTTCCTTCAGTAATGCAAGGGTTAGAGACCTGGCTCATGGTGACCATCTTCACAGGCCTGCCTATTGCAAAGCATGGTGGGATACAGGGTGAAAAGGAGAAACATTCATATAATAACCCACCTAACGAATTCTGCAAGAGATCATATATCCTGGGCAAACAACCAAACAAAAATACAACTGAGTCCATCTGAATTGGGCAATAAGGAACAGAAGAGATTGTTCTGCTGACCACTAACAGAGGATTAAGGCTAGTATGGAGAATACATTGTGCCATGAACAATCTTGCGGTGGCACCTGAAAATGGACCAAATGGGTCCTAAGTTGATTTTCTGAACTTGTGTCCATGACGGCACCAGAAAAAACTGCCTTGGTAGAGATTGTTAGTCACACTAGCATCTCTACACCCCTAAAGGAATCAAAATTAGGTTGAGTTCTGTTTTCCCCTTTGGGCCCAGAGACCCTCTAAACATCATTTGGTAGGTTGAATACCTACCTTTTATCTCTGAAATATGAGTAAAGACCATCAGTCGCCACCGGAAAAGGGGGGGACCAAGTTAGAGGGTAGCACGTTTAGAACTAAATGAGCCTTTGGGGGGGTATAAGCACACTTTTGGTGACTTTCTGTGAGAGGTGCCCCAAGACAGAGTGGACTCAGTAATGGAAGGTGTAGTTTTATAACCATTGATATCTATGTGCCAGCTTAGATCATGTAGCCAGACCTCATGGTTTCAGGCACAAGCTGGTCAGCTGCAGGGGGAATTCCTCCCTGAGCCTCTTGCGCTGCCTACAGCAAGCCAGGAGCATCCTAGCACTCCTTGCTTTTGTATACAGACAATGTCAGGCAGTGGGAATGGGACTCCGTGAAGCAGAGGTTCTCAGCTCCTACATACCTTAACGTCAGCAATGAGGGCGTCCTCATCCTCTATGCCCGTGGGGACACATTTCTTGTGCAGAGGCAGTGACTCCAGCTTGTCCACCAGGCAGCGTAGACCTTCCAGTTCGAACTGGGTCAGATGCACCTTCCTGTACTTGAAAGGACTGCTGCCATGGGGATCCCAGGCCTGACCATTGTGGGAGCCCCGGCTGGAGTCAGAGGAGTCCATAGATAGAGTTCTCTTGAGGCCTGGCAGGCTCCTGCAACTTCTGCTTAATTCATCATAGTCTAGGTTGGCACCATTAGCCACAGGGCTTGTGAGAATTGATCGTCTGGTGACTGGGCGCCTGGGCTCCCTGCCTGCTGCATCGTCCTCTTCATCCATGTTTCCTGGCTCCAAGCAGCTCAACTCCATATCTGCCAGGAGGGTGAGGGGAAAGAGTAGAGAGTGAGAGAAGCAGAACTGCAGGCCTGCCAAGCAGACTGCTTACAGGAGATTGAGGGTTTCCAGGCTAATCATCTGAAGGAGACAAGAAGGGATCTCCCTCAACCACCAGAGAATGGCATGTAAAGCCAGGAAAACAAGCGGCTGGACAGAGCAAGACACTGAATGGATACACCAGTGGGGCTGATCTAGAGTGACCGCTGTGTGGGAGTGCCAGAAGAGTAGCCTGATTTCCAATGAGTGCAAATGTAAAGCATCCCTCCCCACCAAGGCTGAGAGAGAAGGGCTGCAGATGCTGCTGGTCCTATAGCTGTCCCATTAACGCCACCTCTCTGTTCATTATTTCACCACACTCCCCTGCTGGGGGAAGCTGATCAAACGGACATGGAGTCACACTGTAGAAGAGCAGGAGTTTGAGAGCAGCAGGCTGCCCTGAACTGATCATCTTAAGCTTCTAAAGAAAATACAGATGCAGGAGGAGGAGGAGCCACAGGGCTTTGCCTTTGCTGGAGCTCTTTGGGTAGAAATTTGAGCCCTGGAAATGCTACAGCTGTGATGAGAGGCATCCTGCAAATGATTTTCGGATCCCTTTTGAGAGCAAGACCTCATACATCACCCTTTATTGGATTCCTGGCTCCAGCTATGTTGCAAGAGGCCCCTGCAACCGTCAACATAAAAACTCACAGACATAGCAACTTAATCTAGCACACCATGAGGTTCTAGGCCACGGGAAATATTTTCCGCATCATCAGCTGGAGCCGGCCCTTGACCACAGCAGCAGGGACTGCATCGCCCCTTTCCAATTCACTAGAAGCTGCACGCCACTACACTGTGCACTTACATGGTGACAACTTGGGCTAGATTATCTGCAGCCCTTTCGAGCAAAGATGGCGGGCTAGCACTTCATGGGGTAAAGGAAAGCTCCAGGACAAACTGCTGCTTTTGACTCATTGATAAAACCATACCTCCTAATCCTGTTTGCCCTCTCCCCATGGATTCCCTTAAACACAGGAAAGATAGGAAGTGTGAAATTTAAGGAAGTGAATCTTCTGAATGCCCACTCCACCCTGCTGTATTGGCAGTGAGGGAAGTGGAAGAAACTCCTCCAGCATGACAAGGAAGAGATGGGGGCCAAGCAGCTGTTCTTACCCATGTTGAGTGATTCCTTCTGGAAGTCCTTGGTCAGGTGGGAGTGGCTGGTGATGCAGTAAACATAGCGTTCCAGCACATACCAACACATCTCATAGTAGAAGGGGTAGCGAAACTTATTTGGGACCTGTCATGGGGTGAAAGAGGCAAGACAGAGCCAAGGGAAGAGATCAGTTACACTCAATAGGAAAGCACAGAGATGGCACTCGAAGCACAGCGATCTTGGTCCCAGAATGAGCCTCTTGTGGGAGGTGGGAATTGCAAGTACATGGAACAGCCTATACAGGGAGTGCTTCCAGCATCCCGACATTTCGTCTCACGGTCGGAAGCTACCCACAGGCAGTTCAGGCATAGCTCACTCCCAGGCCATTCACATTTTATTCTTGTTTAGGGTCACAGATCTGTGCTACATTTAACATCGAACAAACCCTCCCGCATTGTTGCAGGGATAGTAGCAAGGCAAGCACACTACACAACATCTTAGCTGTGAGTACCACGCTTTGACCTCAAGCTAAAATCTAACTAAGTTGCATGTTCTGAAGGATGCTTAAGAGAAGGGAAGGCTATTGCCAATAAGAGTCTGCGTAGTGCTTTTGCAGCTTCATGTTAGGAGCTGTGTGCTATGCCTGGCAAGTCTTGAACCCAATTCACAGCAGTTAACTGGTGGGGATGCATCAGCCTGCAGATCCAAGCACTCTCACTCAAGGTCACAAGAGGCCTTTGGCCTCAATAACCCTCTCTGCCTGGTCAAAACTTGCATAAGATTCCAAAGCAGCAGAGGAAGGAAAATGAAAATGCAAAAGCACCACATTTGAGCAACTCCAGTGACAAGTAATCTTCCTTTTCCTATGAAGAAAGGCTTGGAGAGCCCCACACTCAGATTCACTGTATCCAATTCCCTGCTTCCCCTGGTTCTCCCCAACCTGGAGCTGGATTAGAACCAGTGCCCTAGAAGTTAATACCCCATATCTCAAACCAGTCAGTCCTCCCATTTTCTTAGACACAGTAAGCTGGAGACAGATCCTTTTGGAAGCTTGGTAACCTGTATTTCTTCCCTTGCATTGAGGGAGAGTCTCTGATTCAGAGGTTGCCTTCAGGGCCTCCTGATGGTCCTTACCCGTGTGCGGTCTTCAATGTTGTAGATCCGTAGCTGCATGGGGATGTTGAAGCTGTGCAGGAAGTTGCCCCCGAAAACCAAAGTGTCAGTGGGAGTGTACACAGCATGGATCCAACCTGTCAGAGTAAGACAGTAAGCAATGATCTTAAGTTGCAGTGGTGGAGGTCTAGGTTGGATATTAGGAAAAACTATTTCACTAGGAGAGTGGCGAAGCACTGGAATGGGTTACCTAGGGGGGTTTTTAAGGCCCGGCTTGACAAAGCCCTGGCTGGGATGGGGTTGGTCCTGCTCTGAGCAGGGGGTTGGACTAGATGACCTGCTGAGGTCTCTTCCAACCCTGATATTCTATGATTCTATGAAATGGAGAGTTCATAGACTAGCTCTATCTAACAAATGCATGGTTGAAGCATCCTCACACACACCAAGGATGTGGATAGTGTGTGCCTGGCGGTGCTAATCCCAATCTTAGCTGCTCCAGCCACCCCAACTCATGTATGTCTAAAATTTCTCATTTGTCACTCACTTCTTTACCTCCAACAGCACCTTCTCTCCCTTTTCTACTTCTTCCTCGCATGTTAGTCAGATTAAACTCTTTGGGGCAGAGCCTGTCTGTATCTGCATGGCACCTAGCACACTTGTGGTCTCAAAGAAATAGCAGGCAGTCTACCTCATCCATCTAGAAATTAAAGTGTTTCTGATCACACTAGATTCTCCAATAGGTTGTGATCTTGGTCATAGGTTTCCTCGGCTTGGATAGCTCGATAGCTGCCTTTAACCAATTCACTCCAGTGAAAGTTTGCAGTTCTCTGTTTTGCATGCAGGCCAGTTATAATAGACTAAGTCAAACAGGTCAGTGCCTTGAGAAAAAGCAGAGATGGGGTATGCACTGTTTACTAAACCAGAAGATCTAGAATGCACAGATATGATCGGCAGTGATGCCTTCTAAACAGTGGTCTAATTCCTGATCCTCCCAGCTTTTCCAAAGGTGCATGTAATTCTCACTCTTTCATACCATTAGTACTCTTCACTCTCACAACTCTCTCTCCTTGCTGAAGCCTTCCCACAACCAGCAGAGAGAAATTTACTTCCTTCCAAGCTGCGGCAGCCATGGTTCAGGGAAGTATCTATCTCCTTCTTTCCCCCTACCTTCCTATCATCCAATCTCTTAGGAAAGCCACCTCTGCAACATTTGTCCCTAACACTCCATATTCCTGCCACTCAGCTCTTTTATTCAGGTATCTTTCAGATCTGTTCTCCTTTAAAAAACCTCTCTCATTTACTACTTATTTGTAATCTTTGCTTTCACCAAAGAGGTGTTAGCAATCATCTCTCCAGCCACCTCTTACAAACCATGCCCTTGACAAATTTCAGCATGGGTTTCACTGCAACAAGAGCCCTCTGAGACAACTTAGATGCTTGGCATTATGAGCACAGTTGAAAAATCCTGACACGTGGTATTGTCCATTCCTTGCCCGAGGAGGAAGCTGCATATGGTAATTTATGTGCTTTTATTAGTGAAGGCAGGCTAGAGTGTACCTGGCATTTGGGACAAAGTAGTGACCCCCAGATCCTGCAGGAGTTCCATAGCCTTTGACCAGCTCTTGAGAAAGCTCTCTTGCTCAAACAAGCTTTGCCTTGCAGTAGACCATTCTATTTGCCAGCACAACCCAGTTGACTGTTAATTTTCAAGACATACCAGACTCAAAATCATTAAGAGTCTTGAAGATAAGTGTTCAGATCTATAGATTCCACAAGGATCAACTCTTATCTTCTGCTTTACCTACCTTTTCTGAGTTCTCTTCACCTTCTCTAACACTTACTTGGATCATATCCAGCGGTATGTTTAAGGACTCTTGACACCTTTCTGTTTATCCTCTGCCTGCCTTGGCAAAGTCAGTCTGAAGCTTTGTTTCAGCTCCCTTTAGCTGAATGTCCCAATGTCTCAAAGGACAGAAGGGTTCCTCTTGGATAGATGGACCAACCTCAAAACCCACTTCTCATTTATTTAGAGCTCTAAAGTGCTTCCACAGTTCCTAGCCCTGGAACCATCCTTGGCTATGAACTCCCTTTTGCCACATGTTTGTTCTACAAGTCACTACACAGTTAGCCCTCAAAGTCTCAAGATCCTCTGACCTTCACTCCTGCAACTCCCATCTCGATGTTTCCAGCTCTCCAGATTCCAGCATCTGCCGGATGCTGCTGCTACATTCTCACACATACAAAGCAGTGCAGTCACATTACTCATTTCCTAAATACATGCACTCTCCTCCCCCAACCTTTCATTACAGGACACAGGTCAAAACTGTCCTTATTTTAGGAATAAAGTGTTATTGGAGTTATTATAGCCAACCACACACCCTCCCCCATACTCCCCTACTTTGCTTCCTCTATCAGGAATAGCTTCCATTTTGCACCTCCAATAGTTCCCACCAAGCACCTTCTCTTCAGCTTCTACCATCTGGAAGAGCCTCTCTTTGTCCAGCTCACTTCAAATATTCAGCTGAACACATTTTTCTCCACTGCCTCTTAATTACTGACCCCTGCTTTGTTCTTTAGATTTAGTATCTAGTTAACTTGGTGATCTATTATGGGAGTTTGTATGAAAGATGCTAGAGAGAACAGAGGTATATTCTATTTTCCTCTCTCACAGAGGCTTGCTATCCAGGAAGTTCAGGGAGAAATCACCCTGCTCTGAACTGCCCAAATTTTATGGGTGTCCCCCCCAGAGATTCTTCTCCCCACTGCCTCAGACTTCCTGACCCCTAGCACAGATCATATTCCTTTCAAAGACAAGGACAAATGCACACTTCCAGGGTTCTCCCCCCAGCCCCTTATACCTGAGGGGATGACGAACGTGTAGCCCTGCTTGAGCTCAATTCGTTGACAGTCTGACACTTTGTCACCAAGAAAGATGTCCCCCTGTTTCCCTGACAGCAGCCAATTCTCGTAGAGCTCCAGGTTCTGGGATGTTGGCGGGATCAGCCAGAAGATCTGCAAGGTTCATTGGGTAGAGATCCTTTAACGGTTGTGGACAAAACTCCCTTCACTCCTTTTCTATTATTTCTTTCAAGCACCAAACATCCAGCTCTTTCCACCCACAATAGGATCCACACAAATGCTGGTTCTAACAGACCCATCAGTAGGCATTCCGTTAGAGATAACAGCAACTAATAAGAGAGGCTTCATATCAGAACGATGTGAAGAGTACTGCAAGCATCCAGGGTATGTGGAAATTCATGACCTTACAGGCAAACCAACGAGACAAGAATACAAAACCCACTGGAAATTCTAGATCCTTAGACACACACAAGATGTATAGTAACGTTTTCTGAAGTGCAGTTCTACTATTGAAAATGCCTAAGATTATTCTATTAGCCTCTGTGTAGCCCTACAGTATACAAAGACAATAACTCCTTCCTGAAAAATGCTACTTTACGCAAAACGATGTTAAGCGAATCCAATTTCCCCATAAGAATTAATGTAAACGGAGTCAGGGTGTTAGGTTCTAGGGAAATTTTTCCAAAATGGCTCATGTTTTTGTGCGCCTATAATAAACAGCAAGTTGCCTGTTACAACTGAACACCTTGGGATGACTTTCAAAGGCAAAGATGAGAGTGGTGTACCTTTCCGTGGCAGACAGATGCCTTAGCTGCCTTGGGTGTTAGAAGATCTCCCTCTTCCTGTACATGTCAAACTCCATAAAGTGTTGTGCATAATTAAAATAGTTTTTACAAAAAGCTATCACAAATCTTTGGCATCCATGACACTGAGGCCTAGCCTACACTAGAAAGGGTTAAAACCTCCCAAATGAGACAGCTTATACCAGCAAAAAAGTTTTTTTTGCTCATAGAGCCTATAACGGGTTGGCAAACTACGGCCTGCAGGCCGGAGCCGTTTTAAGCCGGCCCGCAAGTCTCAGCATGCGGCTCAGCCTGGGTGCTGGGTTGGGGGCCGCACCACACAGCTCCAGGAAACCACGGCATGGCCCCACTCTGGCTCCTACGCACTCCAATGGCCCCCTCCAGTGCTCCAATGGGAGCTGCAGGGGTGGTGCCTGCAGATGGGGCAGCATGCAGAGCCGCCTGGCTGCGCCTCCGCGTAGGAGCTGGAGAAGCGACATGCCACTGCTTCCGGGAGCCGCTTGAGGTAAGCGCCACTCTGAGCCTGCACCCCTGAGCCTCTCCCCACACCTCAACCCCCTGCCCCTGCCCTGATCCCGCTCCTGCTCTCCAAACCCCTCGATCCCAGCCCGGAGCACCCTCCTACACCCCAAACTCTTCATCCCTAGCCCTCCCCAGAGCCCTCACCTCCTCCCGCACCCCAACCCCAATTTTGTGAACATTCATGGCCCGCCATACAATTTCTATTCCCCGATGTGGCCCTCGGGCCAAGAAGTTCGCCCACCCCTGACCTATACCAAAATTCCCTGAATGAAGTAAGCTATACTGGCAAAAGAACTTTGTTGGAATAACTGCATCTACTTTTCAGCTTTTACTAGCGTAGTTGTTTCAGTTAGGGGTGTGATTTTTCCCCATATGTCCTTAACTGACATAGCTATGTCTGCAAAACTTTATAGCTTAGACCTGATCTGAGCCTCTCTTAACCTAAAATATTGTTGAAGAAGTTTTTTGCACTGGTTTAAACTCAAACAGTGCAAATGTGTGTCAACAATTCTTCAGCACTGTCTACACTAGGGAAAATGGTGTGTTATTAAAACATGATAGCTAACATACGTCCCAGAAGGAAAAAAATGATCATTCTTGCAAGAGTGTTGTAAACAAGACACAAGGAGCAATTGTTCCACTCTATTCCACACTGGTAAGGCCTCAACTGGAACAGAGTGTCCAGTTCTGGACACCACATTTCAGGAAAGATGGATAAATTGAAGCAAGTCCCAAGGAGAGCAACAAAAACGATTACAGATCTAGTAAACATGAGGAAAAATTGAAAACCTGGGTTTGTTTAGTCTGGTGAAGAGAAGATGGAGGGGGGACATCATAACAATTTTCAAGTACATAAAAGTTTGTTACAAGGAGGAGGGTGAAAAATTGTTCTCATTAACCTCAGAGAATGGGCTTAAATTGCAGCAAGGGAGGTTTAGGTTTCACATTAGGAAATACTTCCTGTCAGGATAGTTAAGCACTGGACAAAACTGCCTAGGAATCTTCTGGAAGCTCCATCACTGGAGGTTTTTAAGAACAGGTCTGACAAACAGCTCTCTAGTTATTACTTAGTCTTGCCTTGAGTGCAGAAGCTTCGACTAGATGACCTATCAAGGTCCCTTCCAGTCCTTACACTTCTGTGATTCCACGTTTTAAGTCCTAGTGTAGACAGGGTAAGATGGTACTTAACACACATCAGGCAGAGTGCTGGCCCAGATGGATCTTGGGTCACACTGGGGCAGACAATTCCTATATGAACCCACAAGGGTTCAGCACAAGAAGCTAACACATGTTAAGTGTTAAGACCAGGCCTGAATCAAGCCAAAGTATAGTTTCAGGACCAGAAAAACCCCAAACATTTAAAAACACTTTCTATGCAAGATGAGTAGGCAGGGAGATCTATCATGCTAGGAAGATGTAAGCAGCCACAGATTTGCTACAACACATTATGCAAGAGACTGCAGGAGCTGGGAGATCCAGCTCTCTTTCAGATGTGTCTGATTTCAGCTATCTTAAGTCTGTGGTTCCAGACCTACAATTCCTCTATAGATTGGTGTTGATGTGGTCAGAACTCTGTGAGCTTCTCTGTCCATTTTACCAAGGACTAGATCCTCTATCTCGGAGTATAGACCAGGGATGAGACACAATGATGTTTGTACAGGGAAGAAAACCTGGATTATTCAGAGCAGTTTTATATGCAGGAGTCCATGTAATGCCTATATGTCTTTCAGATATCAATAGCCCAGGAAGGCTTTTCCACATTGAGTTTATGCATATAAAATTTTTATGTACTGAAGTTTGTTTATGCTTTATAATATACCTTGAAGATTATGCTTGGGTAGTTTCTTTATTATTATTGTGTTGCGTTGTACCTTTAAGTGTTACAAAAAACTAACATTCTTGTTAATAAAGACAGCACAGTAGAACCTCAGAGTTACGAATTGACCAGTCAACCATACATCTCATTTGGAACCGAAAGTACGCAATCAGGCAGCAGCAGAGAAAAGAAAAAGCAAATACAGTACTGTGTTAAATGTAAACTACTAAAAAATAAAGGGAAAGTTTAAAAAAATTTGATAAGGTAAGGAAACTGTTTCTGTGCTTGTTTTATTGAAATTAAGATGGTTAAAAGCAGCTTTCTTCTTTTGAATAGTAAAATTTCAAAGCTGTACTAAGTCAATGTTCAGTTGTAAACTTTTGAATGAACCACCATAACGTTTTGTACAGAGTTACAAACAACCTTCATTCCCAAGGTGTTCGTAACTTATGAGGTTCTACTGTAATACAACAACAAATATGAACTGCACAGAAGTCTAAACCAGTGGAAAGTCACATTAGGCTTTCAAAGACATCCCACAACATTAATTGTAAATCATCAGAAGTCTATTATACAAAGTTGAGAGACTTAATGCTAACCAATCAGAGATGAGCCAGAGAAATTTGCATCCAAATCCATCCAAGCCTTGACGACAGAGTTGGGTTCAGTTACAAGAAATGGACTAAAGCGGAGAAGCTCAGAGTTGGATAAGGGTTTCATATTCAAACCCATCGCCACCCATCCTGAACTCTGATCCTTATACTTTTAACCCATGTGTCACTTTAAGGGTACCTGTTTGCAATTTAAGATCTTTAGACAGCTGCACTTTTGAAAGCACTCCAGTTAGTCTTTAGGAACCCCAGATAGTCTCTACCGCTGGTCCCAGAATGCTGATAGTTATGTCACACCCACCATGGAACAGCATCCCAGTTTAGAGATCAGATCTCCCCTGAAGCACATGGCTTTGTAAATTTAGCTCTACCCTGGTTGCTTTCTAAAGACCAACATAAAACATCTTTAGCAGTCCTCACAGGGGCTGCCCTCATACCTTTCCCCCTCGGTGGATGTGGTACCATACGGAGGTGCCGCCAAAGTCCACATGGAAATCTGTGTAGCAGCCCTTAACACTCATCAGACAGTACCTAGCCAGAGACAGGAAGAAGAGATGAGCAGGATGAAAGTGAGTAGCACATACCTCTGTTTTAAAGCTGTCACTTGTGAAACCCCCAACAGCTGCAGCATACTCAAGGGGTGTGAAGGGGCAAGATAGGGGGGTAGGGGTGGGTGCAGGGACAAATAGTAGTGTTAGACTCCAGGGAAATGCAGACTGAGCAGCACGTGAGTCTAAATACTACAGTGATAGCAGATTGCTGGCAATGGCAGGAGAGTTCATTTACATCAAGAAATAAAATACACAGGAGGAGCCTTAGCCCAGGCAGGAAAAGGAAGACCTTCCCTCCTCATCCTAAAAGCTCTGGGATTCTAAAAGATCATTGAAGTCTGTCATTGCCTAGTCTTGCTTGCTATGGCAGGACAGTAAATACTTGGCAACTTGTTGAATTGGACATGTTGTATTAGAATGACAAGCCAAGCAAGTTTTACCAAATGCAACAAAGAGGAACTTGTGCAACTGTCCAGAGGCTGGAGGAGTTAACAGCTCTGCTGTTTAAACAGTACCTGGGGGCAGGTATAGAGGGACACAGACTCCCTCATCTCACCTCAATACCAGGCTGCCTGCCATATTCAGTTTTACTTGCGTGATTGCCTCACCCCCTAGATCCACCAGGAGGAGGAGGAGCTGGGTACATGTGCTTCATGAGGCCACTTACTTTTGCACCTTGGGATACTGCATCTCCAGAATGGCATTTGTAGACTCCGTTTGACTCTCCTTTAGGTGTCTTGGCCACATGTTGTCGACCCAGTCAATCAGATCCACCTGCAACCAGAGAGGAATTAGGCCCAAGTCTCGGTAAGATGGTCCATGGCTCTCTTCGCATGCTTGAGTATTTCTAGGAGGTCCTGTGGCCAATCTGACATCTGCAATGGCCAGGTAACTAACAAACAGGACTACTGAAGTAGAAATACTATTTATGGCTATAGTGAGACTGCCTCCCAGGCATGATCACAGTCACAAGGATGAACAGGTGTCACAGTTCCTAGCCACTTTGCCGCACTGCTACTTCAGGCTTGGGACTGGAATCCAGGATTTCATGCATTCCACAGCTCTGCAGAATCCAGTGTGCAGATCACCCTTGCCACAAAACTGTGCTCTGAAATCTAACTTATTTAAGCAAACTGTTCTAATTCTTATAGTTGCATAGGAAATCTTCCAAATGTGAATGAAGAGTACATAATACACCAGTGTCCGAGTCTGCAGAGAATTGGACACAATAGCTGCGGTATGAACCACTCTGCATTTATCTCAATGGGACCCTGTCCTTAGGTTTAGGAGTTAATTTAGCTGTCAACATTCACTACTCCATATTAACATCATCCTGCTTATGTGCTTCTCTCACATTCCGAACTGTTTTTTACATATTTTCAAGACCCCCTCCCCACACACTGCCTTTACCCAAGCTGCAGAAATCTCCAGTTCCCCCCACTGCAACCTCTACATAGCAATGGGCATTTGTAACTCAAGATTCTGAAGCACATGCAAGGTTTAAGAACAGCATAAATAATCTGAACACGGGGATGCTGCCCTGGCTGGGTTATTTTCATATGTTATGCAACAGAAGTATTACTTTGTAGCTTTGCTGGTATTCCCACCTTCTACTTGGCTGCCTGTGCTTTCACTAACAATGGGATTGAGGCTTCCCCCAAGATGCAGGAAGTGGTTCTACCAAGCTTCATAGCAGTTCAGTGCATGCAACTGAACGCGGAAGCAGGCACTGGTTGGAAAACAGACACGGTCTTGTCAAGCAGTGGAACCAGCTAAACAGGATGAGGTTGGGAGTCAGTGACCCAGTCCAGGGACTAAAACTTGGACTAGCCCAAATGCATCCTTTATTCAGACTTGGATGTACGCTACCGTGTATCTGTTCTTGAACCCCTTCCAGCAGAGCAGGTTACTCCACTGTCTAGTTAACTTCCTCATTAGGAATGGCTTACATTTCTCTCACCTGCAGGCTGTCTCTCTGCACTGCGGCTTTGCCCCCCCGCCCCGCCTCATTAGCTACAAATAATTCTGCCTCCACAGTGACTGTCTTGAGGATTTAGATAGGATTACTGTGGCCTCCTCTGACAGAATAGCCTACCCATTCCTTTCTGCACTTCTCACCAATTTAGCAAGGTCTGCAATGGCGCAGGTGCTCAAAACTTACATAGAGCTCCAGCTGCTCTTTGGGGTTGGAGAAGGAGCAGCAACCCTGTCTGAACCCCCATAAGTATTGTAGGGAGGCCTCTGGTTGCTCTCTTCTTCAGTACGGAGGGGCCAGGCTCAGTGCTCTACCTTTACCAAAATGAAAGGAAAGGGGGGGAGAAGACAACAACTTTACTGACCGTAGCAGGTCTCTGCACCAGGTTCTCTAGCCTTGTGTGACTGAACTCCAAGCTGATGACGTTATACAATTTCTCCCGCTCCTCCTCTGGGGTCTCATAGTAGCGTGCCCACTGTGCCATGGACATCTCAATGTCCCTTTGTGTGTTCACATCCATGACATCCACCATCCGCCGGCTCCCTGCCAGAGCAAAACAGACATCACTGCTGTGCACAAGGAGCTACTAAGAACAGACAAGCCAGAGCACAAGAGGGGACAAGCCCGTTCTGAGGGATGAACTTGTAAGCACCACCCATCTATGTGCAAGGTCAATCCCTCTCCTGCAGGAGTGTACCAAGGCCCTCGTCCTCATCCACACCAGGGCAACCAGAAACTGCTTAGAGTTTTCTGAACGAAGCCCATGGCTCAGCTACTCCTGGTCACAGACTAGATTTCTTCTCAGGCAGTAAAAATCCTTGATTATTTGGACTGGAGGGGCTGTTAGAACCCAGCCAGCAATGTGTTGAGGGAGCCATAAAGACTGTTGTAGCTCATGGATTCAACAGCCTGAACTAGTTCCCCCACCCCTTCTGAAAGTCACCGTGGCCAGTTACTACCATGCCACAAGGCAGCAGGAGAGACACTTACCTACATACAGTCGCACGTCATTCACACTGAAGTCAGGATCTGGCATCCTGCAAGACAGACACTTAACTAAAACAAATCAGGGTCTCCGCCACAGGCCTCTCTCCCTCCTGTAGCCCTTGGCTTCATATAGGCATCTCAAAGGCTCCATCCCTCCACATTTGCCTTCCTCCCCCCTATAGAACGCTACATGCTTCCCCCTCCACCTATGAGGGCAGCCAAGAAAGCCATGATAGTAGCACACAAACCAATGTGTGCAAACAGATTCTTCTGCAAACAATAAATCCACTCAGGTGCCTCAACAGGCAAACGCTGGGCACAACTGTCACAAGGGGAGTAGTGTAGTTTAGGAATAGGATAAATTGTCACCAGCAAGTACACGCATTGTATAGCGGCTCTAGGAAAAGGTTCAGCCTATACTTGAGAATCACTGGGCACGTCTACACTATGGACACTATAGCCACACAGCTCCACCTATGCCACCATAGCACAGACGCTTCCTATAGCAACCCAAGGGGTTTTCCAGGCGATGTACGTAATCTGTCTCCCCGAGAGGCAGCAGCTAGATCAACAGAAGAATTCTGCCATTAACCTAGGGGTTAGGTTGGCTTAACTACAGTGCTTAGAGGTGTGATTTTTTTCACACCCCTGAGCAATGTAACTAGGTCAAACTAAATTTTAATGTAGAATAAGCCTCAGCTGTCATTTTAAAAAAGTCAAAGTAATGGCCTGTCTATACTGGTGATGGGTATCAGTGTATCTACAGCAGTACAAGCTGAACCACACTGACACAGCACATCTACTCTTTGTGTTTGTACTGGTGTAGCTACACTGGCATAAATATCTCCACTGCATGTAGGGCCTAAGTCTCTAGCCCTCATGGTTAAAGAAAACCTTTCAAAGTGTGAACTGAATAAATCAGCAATATACGATACACCAGAGTCACGGTGTTTTATCTACACTGATCCAGTTAAAGTGGTACAACCCCCACTAGGGTGGACTGTTATACCAGTACAAACGGGCTTTCATTGATATAGCTTGTTTCCAGCTTATTCCCAACTATAATAGGTAAAAAAAATAAGTCATCCCCATAACTAGCAGACTCATACCAGTACTAAAAACTGTGCAGACTAGGCCTAAATTTGCAGGGAGTCTGAAACAATAGCTCTGAAGGGTTAACTGTCCCATTCATCTCAAAAAGGAGTTAATTTGAACGCCATCAGCATTAGCTGATCACAGCATATATGGAAAGAGGGATGAGCATGTTAAGCAGATCTGCACAACTGTAAGTGACATCTCACTTGGCACCATGAAAGCACAGCACTTGGGAGTGTATCAGTTAATTCCCTCCACCCAAGTCAGGAAAGAGCCATGCCCAAGGAACCTACCAGAGCTCAGAGCAGGGCATTTGAGCCCCACTAAGGGACAGCCAAACCCGAGACCTATATAGTGTGCTCATTATCATATTCTGAATGGTCCTAACCTATTGACTAGCCTCTCCCTTTAGCAACTCAGGCAGGCAAGAGCATCTTCACTCCACTGATTGAGCCATTCTTGTAACTCTTCCCAACTCATACTCTCTCAGACAGGGCTCATAAGCCAAGCAACTGTCTTTGTTCTGTGCTGATACAGCGCCTCGTACAATGTGGTCTGGCCTGCTACTGGAGATCCTAGGTGCTGCAGTGATACAAATACAACCACCACCCCAGATGGGCGCCCAGTTAGAATGAGTACATACACCTCTACCCCGATATAAAGCGGTCCTCGGGAGCCAAAAAAATCTCACTGCCTTATAGGTGAGACCGCGTTATATCGGGTTCGGGCCGGTACGGAGTGCCGGACTGGACCGGTCTTCCCCGGCGGTGATTTAAAGGGCCTGGGGCTCCAGCTGCTGTGGGGCGCCCCAGGCCCTTTAAATCACCGCCGGAGCTCTGGCAGTGAGGCTCAGGCAGAGATTTAAAGGGCCCGGGGCTCCCCACAGCGGCCGGAGCCTCTGGCTCTTTAAATCACTGCCCGAGCCTGGCTGCCGGAGTCCACATGAATTCGGCTATAACCCGGTAAAGCAGCGGGGCTCGGGTGGCATTTTAAAGGGCCCGGCGCTCCCCGCTGCTTTACCACGTTATATCGGAATTTGTGTTATATCACGTCAGGTTCTATCGGGGTAGAGATGTATGTCAAAAGCACGGTAAAAACAAGTTGGACACCGCACCGGGGCAGCTACCAGAATCTGCTTTCCCACAGTTGGATGTGGGGGGACAATGAGACTAGATTCTGAACTGGGAACTCTTAGGAGAGCATCCACGGATACAGCTTGGGATAGAAAGACCACCTTCAGGTGGAAAGGCTCTGTCAGACTGCTAGGTTATTTCTCTAGTACAGCCAGTGGCCAGCTAGGCTAGAGTCACTCACCCTCCCATATCCTCAACACTTACTTTATTCCGAGCCCGTCGGAGTTCTTGAAAATCAAAGGGTCTCTCAGGCCACCCCGCTGGATATACTCAACATTGAAGTCTGTCATGAGTGAGAGAGAAGAGGGGATGTATTAAGGGGAAGTTGCCAACCACAGAGATACCAGGGAAGGAGCAGGTAGCATAAAGAATGGAAAGAAGAACTGGGCTTAGCCATCTCCTACAGAATTTAATCTCCAATCACTGTCCTAATCAGCTGTAGGCAGTCTGCCATAAGCATGGACCAGACAGGCACAAGCAGGCAGGGTATGTGGGCCCCTATAGCTGAGTCAGACAAACAGGGAAAGAGTTTATCATTTCCCGAACAAACTCAATCAAGCAAAAGAGGCCTTAAAGAAACCAGTTAGACTGCCTCCTCCCCGAGGGCTCTGCATCTAGAGCCTAGCTCACATCAGCTGTGTGAGCATCAGGGATCCTAGTTTTCCATGATTAAAAAAACCCACCAAAATTCTCCGATAAAACACACAAAAGTCCACATTTTTCCACGATTAAAATGAAATGCTGAACTTAGTTTCCTTAGCTACAATATATTTAGGTATCAGTTGAACACAAGGTTTTATTGATATATTTACAATTTTTAAGCTGACAGCCTGAGTTCCGCCCATTCTCCTGATTATCTGAATTTGATTATCCGATTTGGGACTGGGGCCAGTTAGATCGGATAATCGGGGTTCCACTATACATGTTTTTATTTTTTTACAGAATATAAAAACTAAAGATTCTCTGTAAAAATGCAAATTCCATGTTTTCCTGTGGCAAATGCATTTCTAGGATCCCCGGTGATCATAGGTAAGGTTAAGATTTTGTCATGGTTATTTTTAGTAAAAGTCATGGACAGGTGAGGGGCAATAAACAAAAATTTGCGGAAGCCATGACTTGTCTGTGACTTTTGCCACTGCAGCTCCATGGTTTCCCCTGCCACTGGGTGGCTGGGAGCTGTGGGGATCTCTCCCCTCACCTCCCTGCAAGGCTGTCTCCAGTCACTGGAACCCTGAGGAGGCTGTCTCCTGTTGCTGGAACCTTGCCGGGGCCCCACTGGCTGCTAGCTCCAGTGGCAGACCCAGGGGCTGAAGCAGAAAATGTCAGGGCAGTCTCTGGAAGTCATGGCTTCTGTGACTTCGCGACAATAATGTAGCCTTAATTATAGGTGTCACATGCAAGCTTATATTTGCCCCTCTAACTCTCTCTTTACCCCACCCCACCTAGGTATGCAAAATTAGGAACCTAGCTCCACTCTTACTCAGTATGTTTCAGGTGGAGGTTTGCTAGGGAGAAACTTCAAAAGCCATTCTTAGGACTGGATTCCCAGCTGCTGGCTCATTGGCCACAGAGCTGTGAGGGGTAGAGCTGAGACTTCACTTAGCATGTTCCACTCCATCTCCAAGCCACTTAACAGTGGCTATAGCAGGGCTTTTTTGGGGAGGTGGGGTTGAAAGACCATATTTACTCTGCTGCGTGTGCTAGGAAAGCAGAGCAGCTCAGAGAGGAGAAAGAATCAAGACAGATAGCAAGGGGGAACAAGGCCCAAAATATCAAGGGGGCATGGGGTGAAGGGAGAAGATAGAAAATAAAAATAGAGGCAAATCTCTGGATTTAGATACCAGTAGTTGTGTCACCACAATCCAACTGGCAGCTAAAGAACTTAGCAGTGAGTTTTGTCCTCTAAGGCCCTGAGCACTGGGGAAGAGCTCCTCTCCTCCCAGAGATTATATATATATGCCCTACTAGAGAAGTAGTTCTCCCCCCTTCCCACAGGAGCGAGGACTGTGGAGGACACACACTGATCAGGCAGTTTGTTCACAGGGGCACTTTTCCTACAGCGTTTCTCTCTAGAAACTTTGCAGTAGAGTGGGTGTGGGCAGCGGAGGGACCACAGACCTTTGCCTTCCATAAAGAGGACGAAGTTGGCATTGAATTTGTTGGTGGAGAGTTTCTCCTCCAGGTCAAATGTCCTCTTTCCTTCAATTTCATCATCTGAGATGCCATCATCTTCATAGCGCCGCCTCATTGTGCCACGCTGTGGAGAGAACGAAGAGGAGGATGAGAACAGCTGTAGATAGTGCCAAGTAGCTAGCTGACTTCCTTTTCCAACTGTCACAATAACCCCAAATTAGACACCTGGATGCATTCCAGCTTCACAAAAAAAATCTAGCCTGTGTTTTCAGAGGGCCTCACATCGCCTGACTGCTATTACATTGGAAAGGAGCACCCCACCCTCCCAGAAAGGAGGAACAGCTATGTTAGCATGTCAACATGTTGTCCCGGTATTATTCTGGGATATCTACCACTGGCTAACTGGTGCACACATTTATTCTCCAGTCCCTTTTGCTCAGGGAAAATCATCAACTATTGTGGTCAGTTCCCTGGATGCAGGCCATGCAACAGCAAGAACAGCTAAGCAACCTCTGCCCCCACTACCAGAAAGCATGCAGCTGTAACTCCATATTTGTTCCCCCCACTGCCTATAAGTTCCCACACTTTAGGCAAGATGGGGGACAGATGGGATTAGAATCTTCACTGGCCCCAAGTGTTGACCACACCTCAACTCACAAGGAAGGGATGGGATAGTGGTTCATGTGAAGTGAGGCCAGTCAGGGCCGGCTTTAGGACCTGCAGGGCCCGATTCCGCGGTCCGGGTCTTCAGTGGCACTTCGGCGGCGGCAGCGGGGGGTCCGCTCCATGTCTTCCGCGGCACTGAAGGACCCCCCGCTGCCGAAGTCCCCGGAGCAGACCCCCCCCCCCCCCGCCGCCGAAATGCTGCCGAAGACCCCGGAGCGGACCCTTGCCCCCCCCGCCGAAATGCCACCAGAGCGGACCGCCGCCGGGTGAGCCTAAGGCGCGGGGAATCGGCCAAAAGCCGGCCCTGAGGCCAGTGCCCCCTATCTCTGCCACTTTTCACCAAGAATGTTAGCTGGGCTTTACAAGCTCATCAGTATTTTGTCTTGAGGTGGGAAACCAAATTTTGTCTTTTGTACATTTAGATTCCAGCAGGCCTACCACATTATTGATTACACTGGGCATACAGAATGCAGGCACATTTTCATCTTCGGCCTTGTTGGCACAAAAGAGTAGTAACAGACAGGAAATAGGGGATACCAATATAAAGATGCTTCTGAGACCACAGTGCTCTGCAAACAGGTTTATAGCACCTGGAGCAAAGGAAGTGGGATAGGTGGTAGGCGTTGAGGCTCATCCACAGGTCCTCCAGGTTCAGATTTGACTCTCCATCCCAGCCAAAGTGAGCTGGGAAATGAGGGAGTAAAAGCAGTAACTCGCATGGGAAGAACAAACCCCAGGAGACACAAATCCCCCAGCAGGAGGCACTACCACCTCTGGACGTAGAGATGATAATCAGAACAACGTGCTTAGATCCTGAACTCAATTTGCCATTTGACTTGACTACCTTCCCCACCCCTCTCACTCTCTCTGCTGCCAGCTTCACTCTCCCCAGCTTTTCCAGTCTCCCCAGACCACATGATACATTATAAAGCCAGATCATAAACACAAAACCAGAACATTAAGCAGCTACAACTAACTTGCCAACCATCACCCTTATCATTGTAGGTTGTATCTTTCACCCTTGCCCTTCAGTCTTGTCTATTTAGACCAGAGGTGGGCAAACTACGGCCCATGGCCACATCCAGCCCGCAGGACCCTCCTGTCCGGCCCCTGAGCTCCTGGCCCGGGAGGCTAGCCCCCGGCCCCTCCCCTGCTGTTCCCCCTCCCCCGCAGCCTCAGCTCACTGCGCCGCCAGTGAAATGCTCTGGGTGGCGGGGCTATGAGCTCCTGGGGCAGCACAGCTGCAGAGCCCGGCCTGATCCGGAGCTCTATGCTGCGCGGTGGCATGGCTGGCTCCAGCCGGGCAGCGCGACTGTAGCACCGCCAGCCACCACTGTTCCAGGCAGCACAGTAAGGGGACGGGGTGGATAGAGGGCAGGGGAGTTCAGGGGGTGGGGAGGGGATAGGGGTCAGGGCGGGGAATAGGGGGATTGAAGTGGGGGGTAGGGGTCCCGGGCGGGTGGGGGAGGGGGAGTCGTGGAAAGGGAGGGGGGGTTGGAGTGGGGGTGCAGTCGAGGCAGGGGTTCCGGGGGTGGTCAGGGGACAGGGAGAAAGGGTGGTTGA